CCCCCCCCCCCCCAGGTGGTGGTGCCGTGGAGGCGGGGCTGTCCATATACCTGGAGAACTTTGCCACCACGCTGGGCAGCAGGGAGCAGCTCGCCATAGCCGAGTTTGCAGAGGTCAGTTTGGGGCGCGGCCGCGGGTTGGGGCCACCATGGGGTCCCGCGAACTGGCCCCGCGCTGCTCACGGAGGCGCGGCCCTGCAGCCGCAGCCCGGAGCCAGGGGGCTGCGCCGCCCCACCCACACTGCGCTTCGTAGCGCACGCCCATTGTGCGGCGCGGCGCGGCCACTGCACGCACGCCCAACGCCTCTTGGTTGCGCATAGCGGCGGCCGCGCTCGCTCCTCCCGGCCGGGCCCCGTCTTCTAACGGGCTAACCCCTCAGTGTTCCCTGAAGGGCTGTGGCACATGCACTCGCACAAATGCATGTACAAACACGCACTCACACCCTCTCTCACACACACTCACACATTCACACATTCACACATTCACACATTCACACATGTCCTATGTAAAATGTGTATGCAGACAAACAATTTCAAACGCAGACTTCAATACACGCACACACACCCACAGACTCTTCACGCCACGCGCCCTCTCTCAGGCCCTGCTGGTGCTGCCCAAGACGCTGGCCGTCAACGCGGCAAAGGACGCCACTGAGCTGGTGGCCAAGCTCAGGGCCTTCCACCACTCAGCACAGGTGGGCGCGCCGCGCTACATGCGCTCGGGGCGGCGCGGGCGGCGGTGCCCGCGGCCGGCTGGTGTGGCAGCCGGGCGGGTTCCCTGCGGCAGGGGAGGGTTTGCATTCACGCGCGCGCATACGTTGGCGCCCTGGCGCGCGCGCTCGCGCTTTGGGGCGCCTCTGTATCAAGTGCGGTCTTTGCCAGCGTTTCTGTGAGATTGGACCCCCGGCCCCCCTCTCCCAACACCCACACAAGGGCGCGCACAAACACGCACGCATCGCGCTGGCATAATCCTCGCACTCATCTCCCCGACTGCGTCTGACCCGCTCGCTCAACCACCCCCAACCAACCCTCAACCAACCCTCCTGCACCACTGCCCACCATTACCACCCCCGCCCAACACCTCTCATCAACCCCACCCCTGAAGCGCCCTGTCACCTCGCCCCATGACCCGCCCCATCACCCGCCCGGTCACCCACTCGTCACCGCCTCCGTCACCCGCCCCGTCACCCGCTCGGTTACACCAGACCGACCCCTCCAAGGCCGGCCTGGCTGAGTACGGGCTGGACCTGGTGGAGGGCCGGGTGCGCAACAATGTGGAGGCCGGGGTGCTGGAGCCCGCGCTCAGCAAGACCAAGATGATCCAGGTGAGGGGGCCGGGGGTTGCAGGAGTTGCGTGAGTGTGTGTGTGTGTGCATGTGCATGTGCATGTGCGTGTGTGTGTGTGTGTGTGTGTGTGTGTGCGCGTGTGTGTGTGTGTGTGTGTGCGCGCGCGCGCGCGTGCGTGTGGCCTGAGTGGGGTGCAGCGGGGGCCGACTGAGGGCTGCCCAGAAGAGAGGCTGTCAACCGCAAGACGCGCCCAAGCTCCCGGCCTGAGGGCGCTCCGCCGCCCCGCCGTCTGCTGCGCCCCGCCCCCTCCTCGGCAACCGCTTGCCCCGGCCGCTTCGCCCCCACACATCGTCTCCCTCTCTCCCTCTCATGCCGTCCCCCGACTCCACCCACACACGTGCACGCCACCCCTTGCCTGCCCCTGCCCCCGCCCCGCCCCCAGTTTGCCACGGAGGCGGCCATCACGATCCTGCGGATAGACGACCTCATCCGGTTGGAACCGCAGCAGGACGGCGGCGACGACGAGTGATCCGGGCGCGTTGGCTGATCTGGGCTTACGTGATGCGGCACGACCGCTCGAGCTCGGGTTGCGAGCGTGGGGTTTGGCGTGGCGCGCAGCTTACACGGAGGTGCTGCGCGGCCGCAGAACAACCCCGCTGCTTGCGGGCAACCCCTTCGCTATGTAACGGCTCATCTGCGCATCGTCAGCGCTTTCAGACCTACAGCTGATCTACTCGATTACATGATCACCCTTTGTCAGCACATGGCAGAGAGGGCTCATCGCCCGGGCACGGGGGGTGCGCGGGCGCCGCCGGCTGGCGGCAGTGGCGGCGTTTGCACGCACAAGGGGACACGGGCACTCCCAGAGGAAGGGTGAGGGCAATTCGATTTGTAGTGTATGTTTTTATTTTTGGTGTATTGGTGGGTATGTCATCATCGTATAAAATCAGGCGCCCGGCTGGCGACCTCAAACCCGAAGCGCTCGCGCCTGGGTGGCGGCGTGGGCAGGGGGCGAGGGGCTGGAGGCTCGGGCGCCCGCTGGCCGGCGAGGCAACAAAGGGGGTTGCGCTCGCGCTGTGGGGCCGGGTGTTTTCAGATAGGACGGGCTGCCTTCGTGACGCGAATCGCAGCGCACAGGCGGCGCGGCCTCAAAAGGGAGGGTGCGCGCCGCGGAAAGGGTGTCTGCAGGCGGGGAGGCGAGCCACATGAAGTGTGGTAAAAAGGGGGGTGTCGAGCCCATTCCAGGGGAGCGGAGTGCCAGGGCTAGGCGTGGCCGTCGCAGGCCCGCCCGCCGGCCTTGAAGAAAGCTTACAATGCGGAGCGGTTGGCGGCTGCTTACAAGCAGCTTTGGCTGCATCAAACCGCGGGCAAGGCACAGGGCCGATGCCCCTACGGCCGATGCCGCGAGGCGGCCGCCGCACAGGCGGGGGGCCGCTGAGTGGCATCATCGTGCGTCGTTCAACAGCGCGGGGGCGGGTGGGTGAGAGGCCGGCGGGCCGTCCCAAGGGGGACGGGCGCTAATCGGGCCGCCCGCCCGCCCGCCGGCGCGGAAGGCGCAGGGGCGGCGGGACAGGCGGGGCGGCGCGAGCGGGTCAAAAGGCAGGGCGGAGGGCTCCGGATTGTATAAGTAGCGGGCACGGGGGTCGGGGGTTTGAAAACCAGGCCAATGGGGCGATGGGGCCCCTTGCTATGCGATTTGGGTATGTGGATGTGTGTTTATGTGCGTGTGCAGTCCGCACGAGAGGGGACGCCTTCTGCACCCATGCGTGATCTGCGGGCAGGCAGGCAGGCAGGCAGGCAGGCTGTGCTGCGTACATGATGATGTAAGCGGGGCCTTGGATGACGCAGGCGCTTGCTCGCACAAGCCTGCAAAAGCGGCCCTCTGGCACAGGCGGCTCAGGCCGCGGGCCGTGCTCCGAGGTCGCACAAGGCGGCCGCTGCGCCGCTGTGCACGGCGCCGCGTGAGAGCGGCGCCTGGAGGTTGGCCGCCAGCGGGTGGAGACGGGTCGAGGGGTGCACAGGCGCCCCCCGCCGCAACCCTACTGTGTGCCTTACAAGCACCAGCTCGTCACATGTCCAGATCACCAGATCGTCAGGTCTCAGATCTTAGATCACATCTCGTCCTCCTTCTTGCGGTCAGCAAAGCGCACGACGAGGCCGCCGCAGCCGGGCTGCTTAACCAGCGCTGGGGCGTCCAGGCCGTCCATTGACTCGATGGCGGCGGCGGCGCTGGGGATGTCCACAAACTCGACAAAGGCCTGGAGGTGTGATCGGGGTGGTTCGTGGCGGTTGGGGGTGTTGGGGGTGAGGTCGGGGCGCTTAAGAGCAGGGTTGTGTTCAAAGGCGCCTGTATGGGCCAGAGTTGGGAGTGGGGATGGGGTGGCACAGAGGGCGCAAGGGGGATGGCCGCGGAGGCGTGCAAAAGCAAGGCAAGGTGTGTGTGCTGCGGCTCGAGGTGCACGGGGGGCCGCCACAACGCAACAAAAAGCCCACCTGCTCGCGGCTGCGGCGCGACTTCTTTGAGATGAGCAGCTGCGGGGCGGAGACGGGAGATGGGGGGAACAGGGGCGGAGAGAGGGGCGGGAGGGGGGG